GATTCTGGGAGTTGAAGTCCACAAGTCTTAAAGTGGCCAAGTTTGGGGACCCCTGCCCTAAAGTCTTGGTTTCAGTGAAGCTAGCAATTACATGCCAGTTAGCAATAACAAATAGCTTTTGTTTTTCTGTTGTACGCGCTGGTCAAAAAAAGCCAGCATGACAACCACAATGGTCGAATCAAAGCCCAGCCTCTTTTTAGATGCATTGCATAGGCCCTGGCCCATTACTACCTGAACACGAGCACTGGACATGGGAGGGATCACTCACCTTTTCCAAAGATGTTCTGCGGAAAGAAATTGTGCCCGATAGTAGTATTTGGGGTAGCGACAGTGATAAACCAAGGTGAACTTTGTGCAAAATCCATCCTTCCAGCTAGACAGGGGTTTCTAGCTCCATTCTGAAATGCTCACTGGGTCTCTGGCCTTGCACTCTCTCCCCAGGCATGGAATCGGCTGGTATCCATGAGACGACATACAATTCCATCATGAAATGTGACATCGACATTCGCAAGGACCTCTATGCCAACAATGTTCTTTCCGGAGGCACCACTATGTATCCCGGCATTGCAGACAGGATGCAAAAGGAAATCACCGCCTTGGCTCCCAGCACAATGAAGATCAAGGCAAGTCTGCTTACTTTTGGGGTCTCCAACTCCTGGGGCGGGGCCAACTACGGGGCAGCGACCGGGGTGGGATTCAAATTTTTTAACAACCCGTTCTGTGGGTGTGGCTTAGGTGGTGGGTGTGGCTTGGTGGTCATGTGACTGGCTGGGTGTGGCCAACTCAACATCACTCACATCGAGGCACGCATCTCCTCACCTGGCCACTCATGACTGTGGGGATGCTGCAACAGTCGTAAGTGTGAAAAAGGGTCATAAGTCACTTTTTTCAGTGCCATTGTAACTTGGAATGGTCCCTCCACACAAGCAAAGTACCAGCAAAGGAGGGGGAAAAAACTCCAGAGACGTTCCAGAGACAGGAAGTAAGCAACACCAGAATGTTTCCTTCCTGCCCTCCTTACAGGATTAGGCCAGTAATTTCTTCTAACAACCAGTTCTCCGAACTGCTTAGAATGTTAACAACCGGTTCTAGAGAATAGGTGCGAACTGGTAGAATCCCACCCCTGGCAGAGACCCATTCAGAACTGGGCTGCACGAGTGGCAGTCAAGCACTCTCAGCTCCATTTGTACAAGCAGCTGGCACTCACGCACAGGTTGCACAGGCGGAGCTTCACACGCGCACACGAGGGCTCACTGCTTGAGCAAATGGAGCTGTGCACAGGAGTGCATACACCTGCCGCTCACACTGAACGACTTCCTCTCCCCCCCCCCCTAGCAAAGCTAGAAAGGTTTAGCCCATCAGCCATCTCTAGGGGTTGTGCAACCTCAGAGAACAGAGATCAGTTCTGTGTACTTGGGGTAACCGCCAGCAGCTGTGGCAAGAGATAATCCATAAAACTATGGGAGAATTTGATTGGGAGCCTCCCAGAGTTGGTCGCAAGATGGGCAGCTCTATAAATGTTTGAAATTAAATAAACAAGTCAACCAAAATGTCTTGTTCCTGTGAGCAGATGATTGATCCAACTCTCTAGAATTTAGGACCCATTGATGTGGATTTTTAGGATTCTGCACATTTAGGAAAAATCAAATGCAGCATCCTAAACTATAAACATTGGACAAATATTGCATAATATACATATACCAAGCATTATGTTGTGGGGGTGAGCTTTACGGCTGTTCAAGTTGGAATTGTTTGTTTTTGGTTAATCCTGCCTCTTTCTGATTCCACTGTCAACTGACCAGTAAATGGACCTCCACGTTTTCTAGTCTCATGGAAGGAAGTTCTCTTTCTCTCCTGCTAACCT